CCCATCACAACGGCGAAACAGCCCTCAGTGCGAGCCCTGAAGAGCCGACGGACATTTTCGTGGCTATGTGCGGAGAAGAGCCAGTTGAAGTAAGAAGCCAAAGCGATTCAGAGAGGGCTTACAGCAGCACAGCGCAGGGGGTGAAAAAGATAACAAAACCTAGGAGCCCACTGACTCAGGCAAGGCGAAAGAAAGGGAGGAGAAGGGCACTTGAGTATATTGACCAGGAGCTCGACACTGTAAACAATCAAATGGCCTCTCACCGATCAATGAATGTCACTAGCCATTTTCTTTTGTCACTGGATTTGTACTTAACAACACCAGTTACAATGCTGCCAGACCTTCAGATAGAGCACCATGAATGCAATATATATTTAGCCAAACATAAAACAAAAAATAAAAGTTAAAAATCAAATAACAAAACCAGCATCCTCCAAATAGCAATCGTCACAGCGCCTGATATCTTTTGAGGAAAAAGGAAAAGAAAGAGATGGGTAAAGAGCATTACATCAGACAATGAAAAAGGCACATAACAGTGGCTGGGTGTTTTCTTACCCTATAGCAGTCTAAATTTACTATTTTTCATCGGAAAAGCCTCCGAAAAGCAGTCCTGCTCCCATCTGAGCGCTGCTACCCCCCCTCCCCACCCCTCCCCCTTCATTTTGTGACGGTATAACTATGTGGCTTTTGCCATTGCATTTGTCATACAAATCTTGTGACAATTTTGTTTCGTGCATAGTTAGTGATTATTTAACCAACATGATTGTTTTGGCTTTTTTTTTGCATGTGGCATCCTGCGTTTTTTTTATGACTTCCTATGTCTTCAGTAATTTTGTCATCTTCGCAGTCCATAATATTGTTTTGAATAAAGAAAAAGCTAAACATTTACGTAAAAGCTTGTTTATGCTGACGTAGACTGAGGTAGTACAGAATATGCTTTGCATATTCACACACACACGAAGTGTGTGTGGTTCAGCGTGTCGTTCACTCTGTGGGGTATCAGTCAGTACTCTGTCGATTTACTTTGGGCGATAACTGCCACAAAAAGTGTTCGTCAGCCAAAAGGGAGGCAAAGACCCCTACCCATTTTATACAAAAAGATTTAACTGATTTACAGGCAGCAGGTCCAGTATAAAAATGAAATATAGAAAGGTGAAGTCAGGCAGGGGTGATCCACGAAGAAATATATTATTACTCTCTTCAAATGTTGAAAGATAACAACTCACAAAACGAAAAAATTGCAATTACAAAAAAAAAAAAAAAAAATCAAGTACTGCCTCACCTCCCTGGCGGACATCAGATAAGAATGAAGAGGAATATAACACGTTGTTGGAGTCTTGGGGTGCACCGGCGTATAAAGGCAAATATTTGCATTTTGCGCCGGTGCTGCGAGGCCGCCCACTCAACTACGCGCGCCGCCGACTATCCGAGTACCCCTTATCAATTGCGAGCCGAGTTCGATCACTACGTGACCCGGAAGCTACAACACAATGCACGATTTGAAGGAAACTCGCCGTGCCTTGTGTTATAGTTTCGCCATAACCCCACAACCCCCTGTCGCCCGCCCCACACTGCAAAGAGGGCAGATGCTACGCTCCTTCGGCGTGTACAAACACACTGCCTCTCAACACTACACTCCCTCTAGCACATTGCAGATCTATCTGAAACAGCTAAATGCACATATACATCGGAAACTATCCAAATAACTCTCATACACCAAGGTAAGGGGAAGATGAAACGGTTTTGTATTTGAGGAAAGACACTTAAATTGTCATTTGACTATGGCCAGTTTTCTGGGACACGCTGTTTTAGGTCCCGATTCTCGCGACACGTAACGTATCAACCTTGAGCAACCTAAAGCCACTTCATGGTGCTTTAAGTGCTTTAGGGGCTTTAGAGCAACCATGGCAGATTTTCACCAGTGCGATTTTACCGCTTAGGTAACTTCATCCAATCACCATGCGTGAACCGTGCATGAAAGTGGAGCGAACCAATATATATATATATATTGGTTCGCTCATATATATTGTGCGTTTACTGTTATTATTATGTGTCATACGATGTTTTTCAAGATTTCTATGCCAACACCCATTATATGTCATACGCTGTTTTTCGAAATCTCCATGTTAGCACTCATTTTAGCGATTATCGCCCAAAATACCAAAAATGCAGCCGTAACTTAATTCTTGGCTAACTTAATTGCTTGAGTGGCGACATCTCAGTCATTTTTCCCCCCAATCGTTTTTTATGCCTTTTGAAGCGCGCGCAATCTGGTGTCACTCAGCTCGGGCGCGTAGCTTTGGCTAATGTATAGCCGCCATTTTACCGACCAAGTCACGTACCGAGTGCGCGAGAGCGTCACGCGCTGGCACATTCAGGGCAACAATGGACGTCTTCACCCTGAGACACACAGACATGTAGGCACCCTAGAGCAAGATAAACGGAGAATTCGAAGTGCGCGACCGCTATCTGAACCTCCTCTCCTGTGCATCTCTCCGGCCTCCCACCCTTTTCACCGATTGCGGCCGGCCAAATACTTTACTAGGGGGAATGCATTCCACTCCGCTGATTTGCATTAGACAGAACGCCTACACCGCCGAATCCAGCCCTGACGGAGGGGAGGTCCGCGCAGTCTTCTTTTTTTTTTTTTTTTTTTTGGCAAATAAGCTATCATCATCAGTCGCAGACATTTCACGATTACGCGCTATGCTACGACGGCCGTCGATGCGCCAGTGCAAGCTAGTGTCTCGAGGTGTGAAACAACGTCAAATCTGTTGCGTTGTGTTTTCTTTTGATACTCTTTTGAAACAAAGCACACGATATACCCCAAGTTTCATCAAATATTAGTTTAGTTTAGGTTTCTGAATTTGGCTTTTAGAAACAAAAAATCTCCCCAATTATCTGTATTTTGCCGTTTTGCGTTCTAGAGATAATCTGTTATTTTCTGTTATTTCAGCGACGTGCGCCACTAGTATGGTGTAGTCTTGGAATTTGTATCCTCTAAACTAGAAAACACTATTGTTCTTTTTTTAAGGCGCTACCGGCTGTTGGACAGCAAAGTATTTTGTTTTTAGTCCTCAAGTTTTAGTCTTTATTTATTTGGCTCATGAGAGCCGCCGCGCCGCGGAAAGACAGCAACCCGTACCATGGAGGCCCGGGGTGTCGCGTCTATGGAGCACGATAATGTGATGAGTATATACATGCATGATGACGACGACATGGATTGTTGGTAATTGGGAGGACGGCAGTCCGATTTGCAGAAGTGCAGATTGCGTGGAGGTGTGTTGGGCGGGTGAGCAGCGAGCCGTGGGGATCTGGCACGCCGTTCGATCGATGCATGAAGGAGCCCCAGGAACATGAAGGTGCTTTTGCTCACTGGGGTCCACTGGGGTCGAAGCATCAAGCTCCAAGGAGGTAGCCCACTCAAAGTAGAAGCTGCCGCTTCCGAGGAACCAAGGTTCAGATTGAGGCACCGCCGTCGCCCGGTGTGTCATCTTCTTAACGTCGCCGTCATTGTGTTCTTTATTTATACGCGTATATATGTATAAATAAAATAGATAGGTAAAACGACACACAATCAAACGGCCAGCGGCATGCCGTTCTAGTTATTTCTAGTTGTACACGCCTGAAAGAATTTTGTTCAGTTTGTGTCCGTAACCGAGCTAAAACTTTACGTACACAGGCAAATTCAAAGCAAAATATATACAATGCAAGTGTTTCTGACCCTACATAACAATTGCTTATACTTGAAATCCAGGGCACAAATTTTGATTGTAAACATCTAATTAATATATAGTCATATTATAACCGCCGCATTCTTAGTCAATATGCTGTCCCAAACGCGTTGTACAAATCTTTTTTTCGATAAGCCTACGTAAAGGTAGCTTGGCCTCAAGCTTCTTGGTGCACGGCGGAGTGCTAACTTTACAGGGGCAAAAAGCGGGCCGAATTTGGGAGTCTCGAGGAATAAAAAGTATTAATTCAAATACCGAAATTTTAACCGCGGTGTGTGATATGAGTAGGCAGCTATTGTATTCCTCGGGAAATTTACGATTCTTCATTTCAGTGAAAAGAAATTTAAAATTTTGTCGAAGTGGCCTATAGGACCCAATGCAACAATATTATATCGGACCGAGGAATAAAACGTATACCATCCTAAGGTTCAAGTAGGTATTAAATAAGGGTGTATTAGTGCCCTCTATAGATATCCAGGGTAACTTAAAAACTTCTGCAGTAATTTGGCTGAAATTATCATTTTACTGCGTTTTGTTGAGAATAGCCAAGAGAGGGCGCAAGGAGACCGTGTCTAGGAATGCTGGGGATGCTCCAGGATATCGAATATTGAAATTATTTTTTGTATTTTAATTTGGTGCATCGAGGTTGCACAAAATAATTTTCGAAGTACCGCTGAAGGCCCTCCTTCTCGTAGCGTTACGTCAGAAAAGGAGTTTTCGGAATCTCCGCTCTCGCGCATCTTCAACGCCAGAGACGACATACCGATGTTAGTCACTTCTGACAATGGTCCGCAGTTATCCTTAGGCGAATTCACAGCTTTCGCGTTTTTTCATGACTTTGAACACATAACCTCCAGTCTCACCCCCGAATTCATAGATGTGACTTGAACTGAAGCCAAACTTCGACTTGCTCAAGTCCGCCTTAACACCAAGTTCGACTTGAAAACGCACAAGCTGCGTTTTACGTTTCACAGACGTTCCCGCGAACTTCCTTCGTCAAGTCCCGTTCAAGTCGCGAGCGGTCGCGGCCCTCCTCGCCTGGGAGCGAGAGTAGGCTGCAGTTTTTCTCGTAAAAGTTCTTTCAGACTTTAAAATAAGGTACTTCTCTAAATTTTGTTTATAGCATATGTTTACGAAACATAAATCGCGAGAGATGGTAATGGGAAGTTTAATTATTTTAGTGATTGTACGCGTTTTCTGGACATAATGATGATTTCGTCTAGCAACATACCAAATAGCCGCCAAGCACGCTCTTTGCTGCTCTTCGCTCGTCCGGACGCTCCAGCCTTCCCTTCTGTGCAAGTTTTCTTCTGTTAAACGGTAAAACTTTTGAGATTCCCCCAACCCTTGAGCAGCAGTGGAATGGCCACTAAAAAAAAACAATCGCCGCGCTTCACCGCTGATGAAATATCTATTCTATCGGGGCTTGTCGGCAAGCATAAAACGATCATTGAATGCAAAAAGACAGACTCCGTATCTTCGAACCTCAAAAACGAGACCTGGGAGAAACTCTGCAATGAGTATAACTGCTTACCGGGCGTTAGTCCACGGGACTCTAATCAGCTCAAGAAGTGTTGGGGGAACCTCAAACAAAAGTGGAAGAACGAGCGCTCGGACGAGAAGCGCAAGACCCACAAGACAGGTGAGTGTTCTGTCCCTGCTCGTCCATGTTACTCGGAGTGATCGATCTAACCTAGCATTTGCGATTGGCGAAAGATCATATTGGGAAACCTTTTCGCGCTTCCTTTTTCTCAGCGTGTGTCATTCCGCATTTTCTTCAGTTCAGTATATAGAAAGATCGTGATATGCGCAATGTTCCGAGTGCCGTGGATTATCCCGCTCCCGTTTAGATCCACTTTAGCTATGTTGTACTGAGGCACACAGCAGATGTCGACATACCTTCCGTAGGGGAAATAGTTGTTCTGCATGCGAAATGGCATAATATGGCATTGTTGCAGTTTACTCTTACGGCGTTATTGCCTTATTGATCAACCTACCTTTCTATTTTTTCCCCGTGTCACAAAAATATCGTGCTAAAACGTCCCAGCCTCGTCTATGTACAGGAGTGTTTCTTTAGAATATTCAGTATGTGCCTATATCTCGACTGCTTTAATCAAGTGACTTGACATACACGATTGTTCCTTAGGAGGGGGGCCGCCCCCCACACCCATGAGCGCAATTTCTGTGCTTGTGGGGGCAGTAGCGGGGCACATGGCCACCCGCCTTGACAACGATAACGACTCCGACGGAGCCGCCTATCTGCCCCCTGTCCAGAACGAGCCAGTGGTGCGGCTGCTGGAGGGCATGGTCGACTGCGACCCAGTAGACGAGTATGCAGGTACAGTGTTGAGACACATCGATCTGCACTTTAGGCCACTTGTAGGTTGCGTGTGATGGAAAAATATAAATAAAGGGACTCAGAATTCCAGAACGGTGAAGATAAGACGGAAGATATTTACAGTCGTAAGAAAAAAAAGTAAGAAATAAAGCGGTGTAGATATATAAGCAAAGTTCAGTTCGGCAAATCCGCTTGCGGCACGGTGTTGCACGTCGGCATTGGCATGGAGTTGGCAGGCTCGCTTGGCACAAGCGGATGTTTCCCAGCAAGCTTGGTTAACAGCCCCACGGGCCTGGATTTGTCTGTCCGGGCTCTTCCTTGGCTGCCAGGACCACTGCTGTCGAGCCGGGTTCCGTGTCGTGCCCGCCCTTTTTTCACGTATCACAAGCCTGTGTCATCTTCCTCTCATCACGTCTTCCTTTTTCATTATATCCATCTCTTGCTTTGGCCTTGCTGCCTTCGTCTTCTAGTTACTCACACCTTCACCACGTTCACTGCGTCTTCTTTCTCATTTTTTGCTCAGTCCAACTCACAGTTTTCATGTATGTCGTTCTTATCATCCTTGGTTCCCCCCGTCACAGTGTGCACCTCACAAGGGATTGGTAACACAGAATCCATTCTATAGCTTTGTGGTAATGTTGCACAAATTAACCGGCCACAATGGCGCCCAAGCGTGGTATGCTACTCACTCGCAGAAATTTCACGAGGCTTGGTTTCTTCTTTTGGTAAGCCTTTTTCCACTCCCCGTGTTTCCTACCGTCCCGTGCTTCGGTCACGTCCGCGTTTGTTGTATTGGTTTGTTTTTGACCGTTCGTTTTGTGACTGCGGCAATAGTTTCGCACGCTTGTGTTGGTTTCTGGGCGGCGTTTCTTTTTCTGTGCTTGCAGCCATGCTCACACGGGAGCAGGAAGCTGCAGTGGCCGCAGCGGCACAAATGAACCTGCTCAAAAGGTCGCGGTGATATGCAACTTCGTGATGCAGCGCATGGCCCTCACGCCTGGCCAGCAGGAGACCCCGCCGCAAGAGCCCCGACCACACTTGACTGTACCAGTCTACGTGGGGTACGACGACGTTAAGTCCGTGGCAGACTTCCTGGGGGAGTTGCAGACGTACCACCTTGCCTACGGTGCCTCGTAAGCCTTCATCATGAACCGCATTGTCCCGCTGGTGTTGCAAGCCAGTGCTAGAAGCTGGTTGGGGTTGCAGGCCCCGTTCACGAGCCAGACAAGGCTTCGAGAAGAGTTCCTGCCTGTGGACTACGCAACGCAGATTCTCCGAGAGCTCGAGGCAAGGCCGCAGCACTTGGACGAAAGTCAGGACCGGTACGTTCAGGTCATGCAAGAGCTCTTCAAGAGGGCGGACCCGAATACACCGGAGTCGGACAGAGTAGCTCGGGTCAGAAGACTGTGCCACCCAAAATACCACGCCTGCCCTACTGAAAAAAAGTATATGAATCTATATAAGAACTGATATGAAATATCTAAAAACTGATATGCGACATATGAAACTGATATGAAATATCCAAAAACTGATATGCGATATAAGAACTGATATGAAATACCCAAAAACTGATATGCGACATATAAGAACTGATATGCAACATATGCCAACTGATATGAAATATCCAAAAACTGATATGCGATATAAGAACTGATATGAAATACCCAAAAACTGATATGCGACATATAAGAACTGATATGCAACGTTTGCCAACTGATATGAATGTGTCCAATAAACATATAAGAAATAAATTCATATAAGTTTTTTCAGTATACGACGTGCCGCGCGATAAAGCAAACACGTGACTTGGAACCGCAGTGGAGCGGCTTGATTTACTGGCTTTCAAATAATTACGGCATGAGCGTTTACTTTTTATAAAGAGATTCGTCCCCTGAGCCGTTCTAAATACTCTCAGAGGTACGATCATTACTGAAAAAAATCCAACACGCTGAAAATATTATTTATTGCGTAGGTAGTCACCGAAAAACTCCGTACTTACAAAACGACCTGTATAAAAGGCGGAAACGCAGAGCTCCGAAGTAGTTATTGGGTGTGCTGTTGTATTCATGTTTGTTGTTTCGTGTATGTGTATGCACTCAATGTATATGTTCAACTGATGCTAGTGGTATGCGTAATGTATCTACATGGTGGCGTGAGTAAATAAATATATTTTTGCAGCACATGAATTGGGCGGTACCTAGCGCCACCTAGCCTCGTGTAACTGATATGCGGCATAGGAAACTGATATGAAATAATAAGTTCTGATATGAAAAAGGTGTCCAATAAACATATCAGAAAAAAATTCTTATAATTTTTTTCAGTAGGGTGCCTCATCGAGGAAGCTCTTCATGCTGAGCGGAACTACGTGCTGCCGCCACCAGCCAAGTACGCACTCAAACCAGCATGCCCCGAGGCCTCCACGGAAGTGGACTGTTCGAATGAGACCTCTCTTCCCCACCACATCAACCGGGAGAGTTGGCGTGACATGTATGGCGTTCGACTAACTCTCATCGAGAGGTCCCTGGAGGTCACAGCAGTGCCTGTGAGGATCTCGGGCGGGGGTCGCCACGACAGGTGGGAGGTCGTTGGCCGTGCCCTATCGCAAGTTGGGGCCCAACGGAGATCACTACCCAAGCGAACCATTTGTATCAGTGTGCTCCTGCAAGTGCTGGGGAAAACTGGCACGCTGCGGTCGAAATCCCGCAGCAAAGCAGCATTGACCCCCGCCGCAACGGAACAAGCCCTCCCCACAACAGCTAATCGCAAGCCTGGTAGAGGCCTTCCCATAGTGGTTCTTTACCAGATCACTGGAGGCGGGCACCTCGGTGTGGGTGACCTAAGCAGGCAACTGTTGTCGGACTGCTGCTACAGGTGCGAGCAGCCCGACCACCAACGAAACTAGTGTCCAAGACTTCTGGACACTACAAACAAGAGGTGGCACGAGACGGCGGGAAAGGGGCTGGAACCAGAACAACCAGGGAAACTACCACGGCCGCCAACGCTGAAACCAGACAGCCACTGGCTGAAAGCCGTTACAGTCCCGGTGCTGCGGCAGTGAGGCCACAGCACAGATTCCATCGGAATGTCGAATCCAGCCCGAGCCTATCATCATTGAACCGTGCATGACGATCACTTTGCTCAGTTTTCCTTTTGCTGCACTTTTGGATTCTGGGGCCGCTATCTCACTTAGAGGGGATTTCGTTTTCGAACTCTGCAAAGCAAAAAAGATAAGTCTCCGGGAATGCGAAATGCGACTACAGCTAGCTTCTCTGACAACCTTCGAGAGGCTTGAGAAAATCTAGACGTCGCCCGAGTGCAGCAGTCGTAACGGTACAACTAGGGGCACCGTGACCTGCTGTTCCAGTTGTCGCAGTTTAATTTGAATACAGCTGACGGCAGCAAAGGGCTGGAACCAGAACATCCAGGGAAACTACCACGGCCGCTAACGTTGAAACCAAACAGCCACTGGCTGAAAGCCGTTACAGTCCCGGTGCTGCGGCAGTGAGGCCGCAGCACAGATTCCATCGGAATGTCGAATCCAGCCCGAGCCTATCATCATTGAACCGTGCATGACGATCACTTTGCTCGGTTTTCCTTTTGCTGCACTTTTGGATTCTGGGGCCGCTATCTCACTTAGAGGGGATTTCGTTTTCGAACTCTGCAAAGCAAAAAAGATAAGTCTCCGGGAATGCGAAATGCGACTACAGCTAGCTTCTCTGTCAACCTTCGAGAGGCCCGAGGAGATCTAGACGTCGCCCGAGTGCAGCAGTCGTAACGGTACAACCAGGGGCAATGTGACCTGCAGTGCATTTCATGCCGTGCAATTTATAAACATTGTACCTCGTGCTAACGGCTTGTAATCCAGATATCGGTTTACCCATCTTGTGACAGGGGACAACTACCTACCTGGCAGCCCTTCTATGGACGTCGCCGAGCCAGAGGCAAGTGCCAGTGTCACAGCAGCTACAGGAGCAGACCCGGGTCCCCCCACCGAGCAGACCGTACCTGCTCCTGCAGCTGCTTCAAGCTGCAGCAGCGACAGGGTGGCGGCGACTCAGGATGAAGGCAGGCCGGCCAGAGGGAGAATGATGCTCTTAGAGCAGGCTCTCGCAGCAGAAAACGACGTACGAAGTTCTCTGCTGAGGGCAGAGTCTGCCATTCGAATCAAGCTCCTTGAAGAGGAGCAGCAGATGAAGGTGGCAGAGCACCAGATGAAGGTGGCAGAGCACCGCGTGCGGCTCCAGGTGGAGCAGACGAACTTAAAAATTGCGGAGTGGAAGCTCAGAGAGCTTCAGCAGGGAGGCGAAAAATAAAAAAAAAACGTGCCAATGCCTCGACTGTTGAAGGGATCTAATTTATTTCACAGAAGTTGAAAGCTGGGGCTATATCCAGAAAAGGATAGGGTGCGATTTCAGCTTGTTTCACATTAGGCATGCTTTGAGAAAATGCATAATTACATAATGGCTCCTGCCCTTCATCTATTATCATTTGGACTAGTAAAAAGCCACTGCACAGTCACTACAGCAAAGGGTTTGGCAATATTTTCACATTTTTATTGGTGAATAAACAGGAATAGAAAAAACAGTAAAGGCATTTGCGAAATCCACACACAAAAAAAAACGTATTAACATATGAACATACCTCCAGACGATGCTTATAGGACAGTTTCATTGGACGCTGTGCTATTTACTCCAGTACAATGAAAAAAAGCCACTTTCACGACAAAAGCTTTAAAGGGGCGATGGAACAATTTTTCGTACTTCGTGCAGATACTGCGTAAAACAAATCCCCAAAGTTTATGAGCTATGAAACACGCTTGTGTTTTTAAACCCGTGCAATAAAAAACGCCGAAGAAAAAAATGGAATAAATGGCAGAGTTTCCCCCTTTAACTTGCAGCCAGAAAAAGTGGCCAAGTGATTTGGAGACGATTATATGGCACCAATGTTAATCATAGTACAGGACACGCGCCGAATCGCAAACATTGTTGGTTTGGCTATTGTCATCGTTGCAGCACTTGGACACGAGCCACTACCTGAATGATTGCCAAGCTGTTATCACATGCCCAAATCGAGTGCTCACGCAATACTATAAGGTCCAATCTGTGAGCCGCATTCAAATATTGTCACTCTGAGGGGGGACTACACCGACAATACGACCCCTGAGCGTTTGTGTAGGAGTGATTGAAAGAAAATGGTTGCTTTTATCTGAAATTACACTGCAACAAAAAATGTTTCTTGGTCAGCGGCATTGCATTTAAGTATACTAGGGTTCCTCTAGTGCCAGTAAGCTTGTGTAAAGTGAAAAACATTATAACTGAATATTGTTCCACCGCCCCTTTAAGGCAAAGCTCGATCAGTCATTGCAGAAGGGAGCTTCCACTTCGAAAGAAGTTTCTACTTGAAGCTTCTTTCGATGATTTGCTCCCGTTTCTGTATGCCCGTGAGGGAGTCCTCCACGGTGTCCACGGCGGGTGGTAGGTGGACTGGCCGTGTGGCCCTCCTCCTGGGTCTCCGTGCCCTCGGCACAACTGGCGGAGCTGGGGGAGGTGGAGGCTGTGGGTCCTTTCTCAGGCAGGCCAGGTTGTGGAGTGCAGCGCAGGCTGTGATGATCTGGACGGCCCGACGTGGCTTGTGCTGCAGCCTCATGTCGAGGCAGGGGAAGCGCCGCTTCCAGATGCCAAAGGCCCTTTCGACAGAGTTTCTCGTCTTGATGTGGGCCTTCTGGTACCTGATCATGTGAGGGAATATCATGAGTGGCTAATTAAACTATAATATTGCCTGTAGATCCCTTTCATATCTTTCTCCCGGGTAGCTCGATTTCAAAATGCTCCAGCACAACGCACTAGCTGCAGACAATGACAAGCAGGAGAAGCTTCACTTGTCCCGCCTCCAGCATCAGCATCATACATTCGGTAACACATTGTCATCTTGTGCACTTCGTGCATGCATGTGCAGCCAAAGCATGCGAGAAGGCATTGAGCGTGCTCTGGAGGCAGGGCAGAAAGACTCCCTGCAGTTCTCATTGTGTCAGTGACTATAATCCTCAATAAGGGCAGATATTTTCGGGGCTAACGTTGTCACACCCAGTATCTTACTTATTTTGTTCATACATTATTTAACCATCGCAACTAGTGCACAAGTTCAGTAGTCTTACTACTGTTCCACGTTTGTATATAATGTTTTCCTTGTCTTTAATAAAGTAGAAAGTTGGGCTAGTTGATTCTGGTTATACATAATGACAAATACACAGCGCAAAAGGACAAAAAGGGAAGAGACACACCGGATAGAACAGAGCGCTGTTCTATCCGGTGTGTCTCTTCCCTTTTTGTCCTTTTGCGCTGTGTATTTGTCATTATGTATTTTCCTTGTCTCCACACATAGCCCTACATTTGCTCAGGCACTTGTAGGATTTACTTGCCTGCCTCGTGGTGTGTTAGCTGGACCGGGATCTGCCAGGGGGGTCATCAGGAAGAAGAAGCAGGCGTAGCCCATGTCCCCAAGCAGCACCCCTGGTACCCGGCGTTCCTCGTACAGCACCCGCACACGGGAGTTGTCAAATATCCGGCTGTCGTGTACCGACCCGGGCCAGCTCACAACCACATCGTAAAATTGCAGCTGGGGGCCGGTGACAGCCTGCAAGTAGATTGCGTTGAAATGAAACATGGAGACATGAGTAAGAAAAATTAGTGGCAATGGTCCCATCGAATGAAGCTGTCGTAATACTCGACAAATATTTTCATTACAAAAACTGCTCAAGTGATGTGTTCTGACAATGTCAATATGAACATTGTAAGCTTCGAAAAGTATGAATATTGCAGTTCATTTGGAAGCGAATATCAAATAACGTATTATTTGAACTACTATTAGAAAATTAGAATATTCGTGCAGCCCTACTTTTTGCACATAGAATTCGTGCAGCCCTACTTTTGCACATAGCATCAAGGGGGAAAAAATCTGTACTTTCTTAATTTTCAGTGGCATCGCCAACCATGTCATGTGCCAGACGCTTTAGAGCAACATGTAGCAGGTTATTCATTCTGGCTCAGTTTGGCGCAGCAGCTCAACCACTGCATATAGCGAAGCAAAGACGAGAGGGCTTTGACTACAATGCTTGGGGCAGAATTTCCAAATTTCATGCAGTCGAACATGAGCGCATACTCCAATGAATAACATCTCGCGATCGCGCTAGCGTTGCTCTTTAAACTCTAAATTCGGTAAACCGCGAACTCTGCACTCGTTACTTGGACGTTGATTGAGAACACTCCCTTGCGGTTGCGGAACACCTCCGCGTCGTCGCCGCCGGGGCTCTTGATTCGCACGTGGGTGCAGTCGATGCACCCGGTGACGCCGGGGAATTTCGCAAGTGCGAAGAAATCGAGCATCACCGTGTTGAATTGGGCGGCGCTGGGAAAGTGAACGAGGTCCCGGAACAAGTGCCTCGCGATCAGCTGCGTAACTACTCCGACCGCGCGGCACACTGTCGGTTGGGACACGTTCACGAGGTCCCCAGTCACAACCTGGAAGGTCCCGGCACCATAACACCGCAGCGTGACCAGCAGTTGCAGCATGGGGGTCAGCGGAAGGCCTCTGCAGTCGGTGCTCGTTTGTAGAGGCAGCATCCCGAGCAGCTCTCGCACGGTTCCCTTCGTAAAGCGGTACCGCGCCAGGAACTGCCCGTCGTTGTAGCGCTCCATTGGGTTCTCCCTATCCCGAATTGATGGTCGCGGGACTCGTGGCAAAGGGAACGCGTCCCCGAAGACGACATTGCACGCGCGAGTTGCGAATTCGAAGGCGGAGATCCTCTCGGCGACGTCGCTTCGCCAAGCCGCCATGTTGAAACGACTACGAAGTCGAGTTCAAGATAGGTCCAACCCAGTCTTGAAATTTGGGCACTTCAAGTTCGCTTCAAGCTCCGTTCAAGATCGGTTCAAGTTAAGGTGCGTTTATGAAGCGCGCTTGCTCGTCGCAAGACGGACTTGAGCAAGTTGAAGCTCGACTTCAGAGCAAGTCACATCTATGAATTCGGGGGTCAGATTCCCGCGCTCAAACGGTCTTGCTGAAAAGTGTGCTCAAATTTTAAAACAAACTCAGCTGGTGAAGAGAAGTGGCTACGGCTCCTAAGTTATAGAGGGACACCTCTTGAGAATGGTCACTCACTGAGCGAACTGCGTATGAATAAAAATTTTAGATGCAGGTTGCCCCACTACTGATGTATGAGAAAACACGTTATAAAGAAACATCAACAGCTAAGCAGTGAAATTCCTCTGAGTAAACTTCACTCTGGTCATATTGTAAGAATCAAGAACGCTACAACATAGGAGACAAAAGCAAAGATGTTTTGTAAGGTTGCTCCGCGTCATTTTAAGGTTTTAACAAAAAAAACTCGTATATTTCGCAGGAGCAGGTAGCATATGCGACAAACGCAAGACAAATTTCAATTAGACACTGACGCGACAGACAGCAAAACCGAAGACTTTCCTGATTCGAACACAGAGCAACATACATTCTGCAAGCCCGTTCCCGAGAGGTCCCACTAAGAAGATCTTCAAGGCAACGCAGGCTGCAAACTAGACTGACATACAACGGAAACTTCGAACAAATCGTCGAACTTCCATTTTTCTTTGCTTTTTTTTTTCGACGTGTTTAGTGCGTGTTTTCTTTGAAAAAGCGTTTTGGCTCCGTTTTATTACTTTTATCAATATTTTTTTCCCTTCAAAAGAAAGATGCACTATATAACAGTCTGGCAAATATGTGCACGCGCATCTATAGTGACGTTGCACTGATAAAGATGAGAACTACGGCTGTCATTGGACGTGTTCATCGTGTCTCCCCTTCGCGTCTGACATAGTGGTCGCAATCTGACGGAGGATTATTGCGGACACGACGCAGTGTAACCGAGATTTTGGTTGCACAACGAAGGATACCCAGGTTGTCTGAACTAACCCTCACCCCTCCGCAGCGGCGTGCTAAATGACTTTCGCTGGTTTGGCGCGTAAAACCAGAAGAATGCACCTTCCTATTGGGCAGGAGATCAAACTATAGGGGGAGCTTTATCGAGCTTGTTGTCTTCACAGGCAAGTGTTTATTAACACAATATAACAAAGAAGTTGCACCTCGCTTAGCACCTTAGCCTCCACTATACTCACAAAGCCTGGCAGTTTGACAACGGAGCCATAGAGTTACAGTGGACTAGAATATAGGGACAGTGGAAAAAAGCGTCGGCGGCGCCCCATCGGCCATGTGAAGCCAGAAGTGTAGACTGCCACGAGTGGCGCTGATGTCGAAATCCGGAAGACATGGCTACTGTAACAGGGGATTTGGCGTCGCGTACGTTCTCAGATGGTTTCTGTGGTGTCTATGGTCGTTTTCACAATTTGTTTCGTGAGTGTCAAGTGCTTCGTATAGCGATTATATAGGTTCGAGTCTTGTTCGCTAAGCAATGAAAGCGAAGAGGAAGAAGACGGATGGGCATCGCAACGCGCCAGCATGCTAGACTGGTTACCCCGGTTTTCACTGCATTGCCCAAGTAAGCTTTAAACATTAATTCATAGACGTTGAAGCTCTCATAAAGCATACATAGGCCGCACTAATTAACCGCTAGGATCAAAAACAGCTACGCTTGGCGCGAATTTCGCTTTCAGGAGTGCTCCGGAACCGAGCACCAGCGCTACCTGGTAGGTTCTACACGAAGCGCGTCACCTGGAGGCAGGCTGTTTTTTCCACTACTCCTATTCTAGTTCACTATAATAGAGTGCCCGGTCGCAGATTTGAAGCGCGAGGATCTGGTAACAAAGAGAATTTTTCGGGGAACCTGTAGTCAGCGCACAATTTTTGCACCGGCAAGGACCCGAAACATGGTTTTCAAACCCGACGAGAAAAGAAAAGGTAGCACGAGGATCGCGAGAAGCACGAGAGGACATTCCATTGCTCTGGAAAAGTGTGTTTCCGCGTCTCGCCGCAGCGGGGCGCCCGTCACGTGCCTCATCTCTCATCCATTGTCTGCCGTTCTACCTTTTAATTTCGGCAGCCGCGTCTTGTGTCGATCTGCCAGGCTTTTTCAGTATATAGGGGGCTATGCTAGCACGGTCTGGACACGAGCGCTTCGCTCTGACGAGTGGTTTGGTCGCACGAGGAGCGGCCAACAAATCGTCATCTTCGATATCTCTGATCAAAAACGAACAAGAAAATTCGGTTTGTCGTCCCCACAGCTGAAGCGTACCGCTAGCGGCGTGACTCTTCGATCTCTTCTTCAGTACCACCTATAAATCGTGAAATCGGCGTCTGCAGAGCCAATTGAGTCTCCCGAAGGGGCTTTGGTGGCCGAGTGGTGTAGCACACACCAGCTCGGAACAGATAGAGCAAAATCTCGCGCTGCAGAACCCAGGGATCCTGGGTTCAATCCCCAACCCTGCCCGTTTCGCTCCGGATGAGCATCGTACCGGTGTGCGGACTTGTATCACTACTGCGTGGTGCACGTCAAAGACGCCATGCTAGCGGTTGTACGGCGCTGTATAAATTTCTCATCTACAGCTGGGAGCAAAGTCGCCCGTTGAGGCAGACTAGTAAGTTCTAGGTTGTATAAACATAGACACACCCCAAATTTGAATCTCCCAACGTTTGGTGGCAGTAAAAAAATTAAGGTGGCGACCCACCAAAACCCCATCTTGTTTTGGCCTGCGAAGGGTTCGGTAGGTAGGGTGCTGCCATATTCACTACGGCCCTTTTAACTTCCTATCACCCCCCCCCCCCCCTCCCTTGTTGCCACGGTTCCGCTCGTTGCTGGGTCTTTCAGGTTTTTCTGTGCAATGTGCTGAGCTTGGCTGAGTGGAGTCGCTGTCTTTGCAGGCTTGGTTGAGCTGCAGACGCTGTCTTCACGAACTTTCCCAGGAAGAAAATCACTTATGTTCATGTGAGTTCTCTTTTGCAGTCCAGAGGGAACCTGGGAATCGAGTAGGTATCAGCCGGTTGTCAATCTGAGCTGTCAGATAAAAGTCTTGCAGAAACGACCGACATTACATTCTAATACAACGCTATGTCGTGTTTGGTCGGTCTGGATGCGCACGGGACAGATCGGCAGGCAGGTCGTCACCTTCACAATTCTTGCAGCGCGGTTTGCATTGGTGTAGGGTGTCAGCGGCGGTAATGAGGGTGAGTTTATTGTTCGTTTGATGGCACACCTCGGCTTTGTGGCCGACTGAGAGGCAGTGGTAGCACAGAAGGGACTGATGCGGTTGAACTGGGATCGCCACCCGTCCCTAGAAGACATATCGTGGGGAGCCGGGTCCTCTCGAAAGTTACGATACTGAGCTCGTCTTTCTAAGTTGTGAGTGCGCGTAATCATCTAGCCTTCCGACTGTAGGTCGCAAAGAAGCATCTCTTCCTGGATATCGATCGACAGGCCATGAATGACTACGCAAATTATGTTGTTGCTTGTAGCTACGTAAGTTTGGGTGAGATGATGCGAGGCTCCGAAGACAGTCTCAGTGATCTTGAAGAGCTTAGGTTACGCTGTGGCTTTGTAGGTGTCTACCGCGAATAAGTTTTGCGTCGGGGAATCTTGATATACAGGTCGTTGTGTTCCGAGGTGGTGAGCCTTGCTGCGGTGGCAATGGCGGTGCCTACTTCGCTGAGATTAAGCTTGCTGATGTCGGTTCCGGCCATCAATTTAACAATGATCGTGCCGTACAGTGGAAGGGATTAAAAAGTGGCGCCTGCTAGCGGCCACCTCTGTGGCTAGCGCTGTGTGGTAAACAAACCCTCCAACCGCAGTCATAACTGCATTCGCTGCCATGAAAGATGAGGACGCAACGATCGTGAAAGGTATGTAACACTATGCTTTTCTTCTAAACGCTTTTAGATAGAAGTATTCTAGTTCCTCCTTACCTGCCGCGTCACCGAAGTTCATTTGGAAAGCAAAACAAGCACATGTGTGGTCACGCTCGGGCGTGGCAGGCCAGCCACGTCGTGCCGGCCGCGCGCGCTGGGTCGTGCGTGGTTGCTGCGGCGTCCACGCTTTTTTTGTCAATGATTCACGAAACACGCACTTCACTTTTAAGTTACCCTGCCTCTCCTGACAATCATGGGCCACATCGGCAAAAGCAAGCAATGCCTTATTGAAAAGAGAACGTGCGCAACTGCGATCATGTCATCGATTACAGCGTCGCCCCAGAGCCGAAA